AAACAGGCATCAGGAGGCAGCAGTGGCACCTCTGGAACATCTGCCAGCTGCTGCTATACCACCCTCTAAAAATCGATCCACCGTGGATCACTTTTTAGACAGTGGTCTGCATTAGTGCCATTGTGAATGAGCCATAATTGCAAAATCAAAACTGAAAGACTCCAGTTACCCCTCTTCCACGCTTTGATCATGGTCTGAAAAATAGTGACCTTGAAGAAACATCTTCCTGTATGCATTCTTCTTCCTCTTCAGGGACTCCTTGTCCTTGCCCCATACTCTCCTCAGTTGCCTGTTTAAAGTGGTTGTAAACCTTAGTCATGACATATGAACAAAGCATATGCCTCTACACTGTATATTTGTCTCAATTCTGAGCACTCTCATTTTGTGTCTGCTGCTTTGTTCCTCTGCTGTCAACATGAATAATTTCTGACAAGTTTTCCTGATACCAAGGGAAAAGTGGTGACATTGGAGGGACCTCCAGCAGATTGACAGCCTCAGTTCTGTTCCTGTGTGCTGTGTAAAGGGGGTTTGTATCTTCCCTCGAATCATCTCTCAGAGCTCTCCTCATTGATGTACCTTTAGCTCTCCACCCCATGCTTTTCAGAGCTGAGAGATCCTGTGGTAAATTCTGCACTCTGAATGTGTATAGGGGAAAGACTGCTATAGATACACAGGAACAACATATGTAGGAGGATTTGTTTAATCTCTGTGTATCACCTTTGGCCAGTCACTTCACTGAGTATATCTGAGGGTTTACAAGCACTTATGACTCCTGCCAAAAGAGGAATGGTGGTGGCTGGAGTGAGGAGAAGAGGAATGCTTTGAGTGCTGGGACCTGGGCATGGAGTCCATATGCTTGGGTTCTGAGTTCTACCCCTGGAAGAAAAAATTCCATGAGGCCTTCTCTTTTGTATCTGATGCTGAAGCCAGCAACACATCCTACATTCCAGATGGTCTTCATGCTCCCCTCTTAGGGCTGGAAGGATTAATGGTAATCATGCAAGAAAGCAGGGTGTGAGACAATCAGCCAGCAATCGAGAACAAGAGGAGATGTACCAAGCAGATCAGCAGAAAGAAGATGCAGCCAGAGGAGTAAGTCCCCATTCACACTTGAGTGTTTTTCTGCTCATTTCCCTACACCTGAATACGCAGAATCTATACTTGCAATTTGTGCTTGTTCATGCTTGTACGCTCAGTAGTCCTATGCTCTACGCCCTACACTCAGAAAAAAAATCTTTTTTCTAGCATATTTAGATGTTTTTGATCCCTTACACATGTATGCACGCAATATGTGTGTTTTTGTGCTTGTTTTTATGCCTGTAGAATTCCTCTCCTCCTATAGAACTGTTCTCCTCCCCTTGCCAGCCCAGAAAAAAAAACTCATGAAGCTTGATACATGTACAAAAACCACTTCTAACACTGTAAAACACCTGAAAAAAGATTAAAAAACACTTGGAATATGCTCTGTCCAGGAGTGAATGCAGGCTTAGGCAGGTCATAGATGGTGCAAATTTCTTTCGCACCATTCTCCATCAACACAACCAGTGGTGAAAGGGGAATCCCTCCTGCCAAGCTATTGTCTTCTGCTGGGGAGCGTATAGCAGCCACTAGCAATAATTGCAAATAAATCCTGCAGGCTGGTTGTATCCAAGTTGATCAATCGATCAACTTGGTACATTCAGCCTGCCCGTACACGGTTCAAATCTTGGCCGGTCCCTGCTCAACCGGATGAGATTTGAACCTTCTATGGCCAGCCCTAGGGACCTATCCTAGGAAAAAAGCCAGAGCTAAATATACAATAGTAGCAGGAAGCATGGGAGGAAAACAGCAAAACACTCACACAAATACCCTCTGGAGAATGAGACTGGAGAAGCTATGGCACCACCCTTACCACTGAAATCAGAACTGAAAATGCCAACCCGAAAGACCATGTCTCCCCTCCGCATCTGACCTGGAAGAAAAAACTCCCTGGAGACCAAGAAGCCCCAGGAGGCCCAAAATGCCATTTGCCTCTTACAGCCAATCTGTGCACCCTCTGTGCTCCAGAGTGGAGCTCATGCCATCAACAGGGCACTTGGGTAGCAAACACAGGGTTAATGGTGATGGGAAACAAAAAACGAGAGAGACAAGGTAAGACACACCTGGCAGATGCTGTAATCACAACAAAGAGGGAATAGATAGAATTAAGAAACTATAGATGAGTCCTCTGCCATACCAACCTCCAGTTATTTAGACCAGTCAATGCTAACCCCAGCACTAAGCACATTCCCATCAAAGGATTTACCTCCAACAAGGAATCTTCTGCCCAAGAGACCATGAATCTAGGCAGGTGCACAGCGGAATAAAACAACAAAAAAAGATGCTGTATTTAACCTAATACAGCATACCTGTATAAATAGTATTCTTAGTGCTGTTTGGGCGGTTGTCCTGGCGGGTCAGGGTGTCACGTTAACTCAGAGGCATGCCGACATGGGGTGAACTCAGAAAGTTTATTTATATTATAAAAAGTGATTGATTTTTCTACAAAGCCCTTGTATGTGAACAATTTGATTGCATTTGGGAGTTGCTTGAGCAAAGCCCTCTCTGAGTATTTGTTCCCGTTTCCATGACTTCTGTTCAAGTGCTTATTCCTGTTAAAGTGTTACTAAAGTGATTCTAATCCCTGATACTATTAAAGGTCACACCAACTGTCAATCATTACATGTAAACTGCTTTATGAATAAGGGAAATATTTACTTTTTTACATCTTTATTCAATTTGGGTCATATGCCTTTTTCCTTTCTTCCTTGTAGCATGGGCCAGGCTAGGGGTACACACTTACTTTTATTAAAGAAACAGAGCATGTGCAGTGTGGGTTCAGAGTTTTTATGTACCTGCAGGTCGTTGCCACCACCAACAAGGAACTATAGGTGACTGCCTAATATTGTCAAGTAGTTTATATATGAATACAGATTTCAGACCTAAACAAAGACCACAGAAAGACTAATTATTAGGAAGGGTTTCCTTTTTTTTTTTTTATTTTAGTGACACTTTAAACCCTTGTGCACATACTGTAGTTTATACAGTATGTAGTGTATGGTATCAATAAAATCAAGGTCAATATATTGGTATATTAGAAGGCTTATAAATTAGTCCTCTCCATTTCTACAGTAAAGCCAACCATAGATGGATCCATCTATGGGCAAGTTGGTTGTACTGAAATAGATTCATTGATAAACTTCTGTACAACAAGCCTGTCAGATTTTTTTGCTTGTGATAACTGCAGGCGGCTATAGCCACTAGCAGTGATCATTGTGTTATGCCAGCAGATTTCAATAGCAGTATGGGAAAGATTCCCCCATCAACACTGACTGTGTTGATGGGGGAATCAATTGATTTTCTTTCCTGCAACCCTTGGTAGAAGGAAAGAAAATTATGTAATCTATAGCTTGCCTAAGTCAATGTGCAATATGTGAGTGGAACTCTAGTGGTCTCTTGATGGAAAAAAAAAAACTTTAAAAAAACTATAAATGTAAATAGCATTATGTCATTTCAAACACATGAAATCAATGCATTCATTTATGGACCTGGATGCTCTTTACCGAAAAAACGCCCCATTTTATTAGTCTTCTCTGCTGCCCCACATGACACTCCTGCATGTCAAGTGGGTGATTCAAGGATCGTGATTGCTTTGCATTGCTCCACTGTTCCATTCAGTCTAGGTGGATATTTGGGTGGAGCTGTGGCGGTCACGTGATTACTTAAAAAAAAATCTAAAGTAAAAAACATTATGTGAAACAAGCCCATGGAAGCAAAGCTTGTTTTCCAGTGTTTGGCTTCACGTTTTTTTTCTTACATTTAGATTCTATCATGATCCTTGATCAGTGTATGGGCAGTTTTAGTCTGTGCTAAGAAAATGCTGAAAACTGAACAGACCACATTTGAAAAAACATTTTGTTGCTGTATAAAGCTGAACCATGTTCAAATAAAAGTGGTCTGAATCCTTTGGGAACTCTGTGTTTTGAAGGTGATCCTAACACTTTGTGTACCATATATTCAGACACATAACAAATCTATAACACCTAGCATCTTTGTAGCCTAATTAAAGTGGAACTTCACTCTCAATCAACATTGACTATTTTTAATCCTTATGCTACTAGCATTGGTAAACAAATAGTAAAGTATATCATATTTACTTGTTTTAAACTTTTTTTTTTTCACATTTCTTCAGTTACTTCCTGGTTTTCATGCCTAGGCAGATTATGTCATTCATCCCTTCATTCATCTTCAGGCGAGGAGTAGGGGATTTCTCAGTTTAGCACCTCCTCCTGCCTGCATTCATGAGCTAAGGGCAGATGGATTCCAGGATGTAAATGCTACATGAATCATCTGCCCTTACTCAAGATCGCCATGGCCAGAAATGCTAGGGGGTGTTATTCAAAGTAATTTCTCAGCAAATTAAAGCATGGAGACATGGTTGGAAGGGTGAGTTTGCTTTAAATATTAAAAATGAATTACATAGCGTTTTTGGTTTGTGGTGCTTAGATGCAGTGTAGTTCTGCTTTAAACAGGGTAGTGTGGAAAATTGGAGTACAAAAGACAGTCTGTCAGAAATACATAGCAATATTTGTGTTTAAGTACCAGTGCTAATAACTTGTTTTATGGTAATGAGGCTGGGGTGCTGAACCATTGATCTTGTTAACACTATAATAAACAAAAAAATGACCACATAAACCTCTATAACCTGCATCAGTATTGTTAGATTCTACACTCTGCTAAATAATGGGGATGATGAACATATATAAAGTTATTACATTACGTCATTTATGATAGTGATGTTAACAATCATAAAGTCACGCAGGTACATTATTATGGAATATGACATTGTGGACACTCCTATAGTGCTGGTTGGCTTATAGTTCTAGGTAGTTAAGTCAGAAGAACTACATCACTGTATGAATAACTGTTGAATTATTTTTTTTTTACAGTGATTAAAGCGTCAGCTTTACAGGAGAGCAATTATGACTACTGAAACCTTTGTAAAAGATGTGAAGCCTGGTCTCAAAAATTTAAGTGTGATTTTTATTGTTCTTGAAACAGGTATGTAACATTTTAAGGTACTGTAGTTTTTATTTTTATGCTCTTGAAAGGAAATTTAGAGTATGATAGGTCAATTCACAAAGCCAATATACAAGGATAAAGATCATTATTTTTAAAAAGAGACAGTTTTTTTCAGCTGATTATAGAGAGATTTAAAAATTACAGTCACATGGCTGAAAATAAAAATCCTTATCCTTATGCAAATCTTCATGAATTCAACTGAATGCCTTTAATTTCTTAGTTGGGTGTAATATTTTGCTTTAGTAAACTCACAAGATTGTTAGCTATGTTGGGGGATCTAAAGTCAATATTTGTCATTGTTCACTGCTCACAATAGTTATATTCTCAATCAAGGCTTTAATTTAAAATTTAAATGAACAGGAGTGACTACAGCATTATTATTATTATTATTATACAGGATTTATATAGCGCCAACAGTTTGCGCAACGCTTTACAAAATGAAGGTAGACATAACAGTTACAATATAATTTGGTACAAGAGGAAACAGAGAGCCCTGTTCATTAGAGCTTACAATCTAAGAATCTGAGCTTCATTTATTATATTGTATTAAAGGGAAGCATATTTTTATACCGTACAGTATTTTTTTTTATACAAGTATCAGTTTTCAGTTTCACTAATAATGCATAATAATGTTAAATTGTGGGTAAAACATTTTCTATTAACCACCTTTCACAACTTTAACTGTCAGGCAGAGTCACCAAGACAAAGGATGGACATGAAGTGAGAACTTGTAAAGTGGCTGACAAGACGGGAAGCATCAACATCTCTGTTTGGGATGATGTGGGAAGCTTGATCCAGCCTGGGGATATCATCAGACTTACAAAAGGGTAAATGATTGGTCGAGATGATGATTATACAACACAGATAAACTGAAGACAGTTTTAGATTTGAACATCATCTTGACTATATATTAAGTGTCTCATTATAGCTGTTGTTTTGATCTAAATACTATAGGTATTCATTAACATTTATGGCCCATTCACAGTATGCTGTTTTGATGTTTTGCATCAACCCACATTATGAGGGGAATCTACTAAAACTAGAGTAGATTAAACTTGCCAGATCAACCTTTTAATATTGTATGAGGATGTGAGCTGTAATTTAGATAGAGGAAGGCCTCTGGACATAGTGTACTGTATATGGATCTCGGGAATGCATTTGATACAGTACTCCACAAATTCTTAATTTACAGATTAAGGCCTTTTGGCAATGATGAGCTCATATGTACTTGGGTAGAAATCTGGTACAGAGGGTAGTGATTAATGGCATATTTTTTGAATGGTCTAGAGTTGTGAGTGGAGTGCCCCAGGGCTCTGTCATGGGACCAGTTCTGTTTAACTTTTTCATAAATTATGTAAACATTAGAATAAATAGTTCTATTACACTGTTTGCTGATGATACAAAGATAAGCAGTGCAATAACTTCACAACAGGATATAGAAACTTCATAAGAATACCTCAATAAAATGAGGGGTTGGCAGCTAATTGGCAGATGAGGATCAATGTAGAAAACTGTAAAGTAATGCATTTGGGAGGTAAAAATATGAATGCAAGTTACACACTAAGTGAAGAACCTCTGGGGAAACCATGCTTGCAAAAGGATCTGGAGGTATTTGCTGTTCACAGTCTTAGCAATAGCATGCAATGCCAAGCTGTAGCAAGAAAGACCAGCAGACTATTAGCATGCATTAAAAAGAGCTGTCAGGGACCACCGCGACGCATGAGTCTGCACATGCGTAGGTGTTCGACAAGACATGCAGGCAGGCGGGGACTAGGACCCAGGCACGCCTGTCACCTATGACAGCGCTAGGCAGGCACTAGGATCCAGGCGCGCCTGTCAGCGTCGGGCGGGCTACTTAAACCAGCCCTGCACAGACACAAGTTGCCTGATGGTCTTCTCCCTGTTCCTGTGTTCCTGCTCTTCCTGTATGCTGATTGCCTTGCTGCTGACCCTGCCTGGACCTGATACCGCTGTCTTCTCCTGCCCTGACCTTTGGCTCGCCCTGACCATCCTCTGCCTGCTCCTTTTGTCTGACCTGCTGTTACCGAACCCGGCTTGTGACCCGATTACTCTTTGTCTACCGATCTGTACCGTCTGCCTCGCTGTTACCTACCCGGCTTGCCTGACCATGTCACACCTCTTCACATCTGACTCCTACCCGCTACACGCCATTGGCGGTTGCCTTTACCACAGTTGGTGTCACTCAGGAGTCGCGACCTGGTCCTGGTCTGCTTCAAGTCCATCCCCACCATCAGGGCTCTGGTGAACCAGCAGACCTGGGCTTAGACTCCGTGCCCTGGGGGACTCCGGCCAGTGGGCCACTAGAGGTCTCCATCAGTGTTCGTGACAGAACCATCAGGCCATGACTGAGTCAGGAAGAGGTCCTTCCCCGCTGGACGAAATATGCCAGCATCTGGCGGCACTCACCCAGGCGGTGAAAACCCTGCAAAAGGGATACACGCAGCTGGAGGGGCGGATCCAGACGCTCACCGAACCAACAGCCACGTCCACAACCACGGCAGGTCCATCTGCGACCCAGGAATCCGCGGAAATCCCCGCCAGAGCAATACTCACCATTCCTCCACCTGAACCACAGGTACCTATGCCAGAGCGTTTTAATGGGGATCGGAAGAAGTTCCATGCCTTCCAGAACTCCTGCTTGCTGTACTTAGACCTCCAACCCCGAACCTTTTTCTCAGAATCCGTAAGAGTGGGGTTCATCATCTCGTTATTACAGGAAGAACCCCAAGGCTGGGCCCATCGGTTACTAGAGGATCATCATCCCAGTTTAAATTCTGTGTCATCCTTTTTCAAGGCTATGGAACTCCTCTACGATGATCCACAGCGAGCCGCCTCTGCTGAGGTGACCCTGCATTCCCTGCAACAAGGCCGCTGGGCAGCGGAGGATTATGCAGCTGAATTCAGGCACTGGAGTGGGGACACGCAGTGGACTGATGCAGCACTGCGCCACCAATTCCATCTGGGCCTGTCCGAACCACTCAAAGATGAGCTGGCCAGAGTTGGCATTCCAGACACCCTGGAGGAATTGATCCACACAGCCATCCAAATCGATCGCAGGCTTCGGGAATGCCAACAAGAAAGGGCCAATCAAGTGGCTAGGCCCACATGGGTGTTACCCGGAGTTCCGCTTCACTCTACTTCCCCAATGAGAAATCCAGGTCAGAAAGGGGCTGAAGCTCCAGAACCAATGCAGATCGGTCTAATGCGGCCCTCTCTGTCTTTTGAGGAAAGTCAGAGGCGCCAACTGAACAGGTTATGTCTGTACTGTGGAGCAGCTGGTCATATAGTCCGTACATGCCCTGAAAAGATGAGTAAATGTCCATCTGTTGCATCTGCTGTATCTCCTGCCTGTCTAAACAACTTAACTCATCTAGCTGTGTCTGTCTTGTTCCAACTTCCCGGATGAGTCGTATCAGCGACAGCCATAATTGATTCGGGGGCCTGTAGCTGCTTTGTCGATCTTGGTTTTGCAGCGCGCAGCAACGGATTCCATTGCAGACCAAGGAGCAAGGCCTGAATATCTTTTTGGCAGATGGGTCTCGGATAAAGTCCGGGTTGGTAAACCAAGAGACCCCTCCAATCCACACTACAATAGCTGGGCACCACCAGGAGTTCATTTGTTTGGACGCCATCGCGTCACCCCTATTTCCAGTAATCTTAGGACTTCCCTGGCTACGAGCCCACGACCCTCACATTGATTGGGAGACTGGTGCAATTCAGTTTAGGTCTTCCTACTGCCAAAAATACTGTTGCCTCAAGACGCCCGGAGTCACCCAGTCCCTAGGCTGTGTGACCATGGACAAAGAATTGATCCAAACAATCCCACCGGATAACCAGTCCTATCTTGATGTGTTCAGTCCTCGAGGAGCAGACATCCTTCCCCCACATCGAGCATATGACTGCCCAATAGACCTCCTCCCAGGATCAGAGATTCCTTTGGCTGTATTTTCCCTCTGTCGGAACGAGAGTTTGGGGGCTCTAAAGGATTACATTGAGGAGAGTTTCAAGAAGGAGTTTATCCGCCCGTCCACGTCACCGGCAGGAGCCGGGATCTTCTTTTGTAGAGAAGAAAGATCACTCACTGAGGCCCTGTGTAGACTACCGGGAATTAAACAAGGTTACTGTGAAGAATCGTTATCCTCTTCCTCTGGTTCCCGAGTTGTTTCAAAGGTTAAAGGCGGCTTCTATTTTTACTAAGTTGGATCTTCGAGGTGCCTACAATTTGGTCTGTATTTGTGAGGGAGATGAGTGGAAGACGGCCTTTCGTACCCGATTTGGGCATTTCGAGTACCTGGTGATGCCTTTCGGATTGTGCAATGCCCCAGCAACTTTCCAACACTTTGTAAATTACATCTTCAAGTACTATTTGGATATCTTCATGATCGTCTACCTTGACGATATCTTAATCTTCTCCCCGTTCTTGGAGACTCATCGAGACCATGTCAAAAATGTGCTGGAGCGGCTTCGGCAGCACGGCCTGTATGCCAAGGCAGAGAAATGCTGCTTCGAGCAAGATAGCATCCAGTTCTTGGGATTGATCATCTCCACCTCAGGGGTTGCCATGCATCCCCAGAAGGTCTCCGCAATCCTGGAGTGGCCAGTTCCCACAGACAAGAAGGGAGTTCAACGGTTCGTGGGATTCGCAAACTTTTACAGAAAATTAATTAAGAATTTCTCGGGCTTGGTCTCCCCCATCACTCAGCTTACTAAATCGGGGTTATGCTTCCATTGGACGCCAGAAGCAGAGATGGCCTTCGAGACCTTGAAAAAATTATTCCCGACAGCCCCCATCTTGAGTCACCCGGACGCATCTCTACCTTACATTCTGGAGGTAGACGCATCAGAATAGACGCATCAGAATGTGCAGTAGGGGCTATCCTGTCACAGAGAAGTGGCATCAAAGACCTCATGCATCCAATAGCCTTCTTCTCCAGGAAACTCTCCCCGCAGAAAAGAATTATGATATTGGGGATCGAGAACTTTCTAGCAATCAAAACCGCAGAAGAATGGAGGTATCTGCTGGAGGGAGCCCGGCATCCAGTTTTGATTTACACTGATCACAAGAACTTGGAGTACCTAAGAACGACCAAGCGCCTCAGACCACAGCAAGCCCGATGGGCGCTGTTTTTCTCAAGGTTCTCCTTACACATAACTTATCGGCCAGGCTCCAAAAACACGAAACCCGATGCGCTGTCACGAATGTTTGAAGACCCAAAAGAAATTCCGAAGCCTGATACTATTTTGCCTGCAGGAAACTTCCTGCTACTACAGTCTGAGCTTCTGTCCAAGCTACAAACCGCATCTATGGGGGCCCCCAACCCATCTGGAATCCCAGTACAAAATTGAGAAGGGTTGTTATGGAAAGGGTAACAGATTGTGATCCCTGAGGGAGCTCAAACTCTGGTCTTGGGCTACTGCCATGGCCATCCACTGGCGGGGCATTTCGGAATCAGCAAGACTTTGGAACTGACCCAGCACATGTTTTGGTGGCCAAGTATGGTCAAAGACTGTGAAACATACGTCAAGACCTGCACCATTTGCAACAGGAGCAAACCTACACGGAGTAAAGCCTGGGGGCTACTCCGACCTTTACCGGTACCTGACAGACCATGGAGGATGGTGTCCATGGACTTCATTGTAGAGCTGCCACCTTAGCAAGGCCACACAGCAATATTTGTGGTGGTTGACCCCTTATCTAAAATGGCCCACTTTCTGCCACTCAGAAATATACCATCAGCTTCTGAGACTGCACAGCTTTTCATCAAAGAAGTGGTAAGATTGCACGGGGTACCTAGAAATATAGTAT